AGTATAATGTCAACAAGGAGCTCATAGACTAATATATACAAGAAAACTACAGTATAATGTCAACAAGGAGCTCATAGACTAATCTATACAAGAAACTATAGTATAATGTCAACAAGGAACCCATAGGCTAATATACACATTAACTAAGGTATAATGTCAACAAGGAACCCATAGACTAATATACACAAGAAAACTACAATATTATGTCAACAAGGAACCCATAGACTAATATATACATGAAACTATAATATAGTTTCAACAAGGAGCTCATAGACTTTTATACAGAAGAAAACTACAATATAATGTTAACAAGGATCCTATAGCCTTTAATATACAAGAAAACTACAATAGAATGTCAACAAGGAGCTCATAGACTAATATACAGAAGAAAACTACAGTATAATGTCAACAAGGAACCCATACAATAATATACACAGGAAAAATACAGTATAATGTTAACAAGGATCCTATAGCCTAATATATACAAGAAAACTACAGTATAATGTCAACAAGGACATGCACAGGAAGCTACTTTCATGTATAAAAATGATAACAAGAACTTTAAATTACAAGAAAGGAGAGTCCCTAATAAAGCCAATAATATACACTCTGAATGTTCCAAAGGTATTAAAAATCTTTCTATATTTTACACGGTATAATCAACTTATATCTACCGTGCTCATTGCTTTGAATCCAGAAGAACTGCCTTCCCATTCAAGAACAAAGCCATCAAAATTGTATGTTTTCAGGAAGGGAATAATGGTACTGATGAAAGCTGTTTGATTTGTCGAGTTTGATGTCATCGCTTCTAAATCTCCCTCATTTTCTTCTTTTAACATGATCAGTGTTTTCAGCTAAGGGTTGGCCATTGTGAGATTGGTTAATAAACCATAACTGAAAAAACAATGATGTAAATTTCTTCATGTTTGTCTCCCTATTTCGTATTATTATTACATATAATTCGTAATAAGTTACAGTTGTGTGACCGCACAAGGCACCAAAAATAGCGTGCGCACACCGTGCATACATCGTTCACAATCCGTCCGCACATCGTCCACACATGGTGCGCACAACTGTGTGATTTAACAATCGTTCGCCCCGTTGTGCACTTCTCTCCGCACAACTGTGCGATTGGGTACAATTTGTAGATCAATATTACGGAATGAAAAAAATACGAAAAGCTAGTATGCAATAATGAAAAGTGTATATATTACTGTAATTTCTCATCATATTCATGAAGGATGGCTCCAAGGTAACAGAACAGGTAAACAACAATTTGATGAGTGACCGAGTTTATTTGTTATTTGCATTCGGTTTGGCTATAGCTCGCTTTCACCTGGGTTTTCACACCTTTGGCCCTACCCGACGAAATATGTAAGCGCCCCGGGCGGGGAAAACTACGGTCCAGGTACATGTACAAAGGGGCTATGTTTACCTGTATACGGGACTGTGTTGTAATTTCATATGCGTTGATTCAGGTCGTTTAAAAAATGCCGAAAACACAATTTCTAATTTTTAGAAAATATGGACATAAAGATAAGTTTATAAAATTTAGAAACTTACATAAAAATCAATTTTATTTGTTTACACACGAAACCGTATATATTGTTAAGGCATTCCTCAATTTACATCAACCACGATTGTTATCGCACATCGTTCGTCCATCGTGCACACAAATGTTCGCAAGCTTTTATCGTTCGCACATCGTGCACACATCGTTCACACACCGTGCACACATCGTGCGCACACCGCACATCGTGTAACGTTGTGCGATCCCACAACTGTAGATATTATTAAAACAAACAAAAGAATAAAAAATACCAAAGTGTAAACAAAACCATTATTTGAACTCCAAATTGATAAAAATAGAACAAAATATAAGCAAGGTGAAATTACCACAGAGACACTTGAACAATTACAGGAGGGTTACATGGTCTTTTTTGACGTGTAACTCTAGGTCGAATCTTTGTACTGTAACGTCCGGAAAGCGGAAACTGGGGTAGTTTCATACTAATGAGCATAATAAAAACTAAAGACCTCCATAGAAAATATCATATTCCTCAGGGAGACATGATTGTGACCATAAAATGCCCTTGTTTATCGTCAACCTGCATCTGTCGAAACCGTGTGCTGTAAGTTTGTCAGATAGCAGTCGACATCTATCACGGAAATCATGACATTCAAAGTAAAGACCGAGGTAAATGACTAATTCTTGATTTTAAAATTCAGAAGGGTATACACGATCGACGTGGTCAAATAAAAGCTCTTTCCTGTTAATGAAAGACGATATATAATCTCTTCAATAAATCCAACCTGATAGGCACCAACACAATTTGGTCAGGAGACATGCACAGTTTGTTCTCGTATGAATGCCAACAGAAAAATCTTACCATCGAGCTCAAAGAAAGATATTTTCAACTAGGAAATTTGTCATTCCGACGATTTCAGCCTCAGTGTATTTCATCTCGGCCTTTGTCTTTTTTTGAAACAATTTGAACCAAAATAGTTTATAACTGTTTTTCTTTTCATATTGCCATTCGTCTTCCGTGAATGAAAGACGGAAAAGAAAAACTGTCCTTCACAGGGACATAAACATATACTTATCAACGTTATTGTAACAACGGGTATAAACATATATTTACCATCGTATGTCATTGCCACAATATAACCCAACCAAATTCTGTTGGCATTCATATAGGCTTTATTGATACATACATTATCAGATCTTAATGTTGAGAAATAATAAGTATAATTGATATTTTCTTATGAGATAAACATATTCTAAAATGGTAAAGATGAGTATTGAACTGCTTTCAGTTGGCCTTCATAGGCAATTTAAAATCCAACTGCACATAGGCAAATCCATCATGAAGCACTAGCGCGCTTCATTGAATTTTCTTTTGTCAAGTTGTCATTCATATTGGCTATGAATGCCAACTGAAAACAGTTAAATGCTTAAATACTTATCAATGTAAGTGTAACACCAGGGCATAAACATACACTTGCCATTGTTTCAGTATCAACCGCACATAAAAACATATGTTTGTGTCCATGTGGTACATCTTCAGGATACTCAGTACTGACTTATTCTACATTGTACATTGCGTAAAAATATATGGTCTCATTCTATACATTGTCTTACAATGCATTTTTAAGTGTTTACGTTTTCAGCATTTTAAATGTTGCACTAACGACACTAAGCGACACTGCTATGTGGCTTATACTATGTGTGTTGTACTTACTTTTGTAAGTCAGAGGAGCCAGGACTGTACAGCTCATAGGTACTTTTGTTGTTTCTCACCACGACATATGCAAAGACGATGTGAGTGCAGAGGAAAGGATCAGTCATATCTGGTGTATATGCGTTTAAACCACTTCGTTCGACATAATTGGTGCGACATGAAATCTCCAATCCTTTTTCTTGGACTCAACAAGCGTGGCTAGCATACCAACGAGTGTTTTATTGAACCTTTCCGCTGACCCGTTTCCCATCGAATGATATGGAGTGGTTCTAGATTCTTAACCCCGGCCACCTTATAGAGTTGTTTTATGACACCCCTCTCAAAGTTACGGCCTTGATCACTATGTAGCCTTTCAGGAAAACTGTAATACACTATAACTTTCTCATAGAGAGCTTTGGCTGTAGTGTGCGCCTTTTGACTCTTACAATGCACAGCTTGGGCATACCTGGTAAAGTGATCGGTTATCACTAGAATGTTTTCAAATCCTTCAGACGACCTTTCTAGACCGAGACAGTCGATACACACCAACTCCATCGGTCTAGTCGTCTGTATGGGTACTAAACCAGCGGTAGGTTTGCTAGTAGATTACCTTCTTATGCAGCGACCGCAAGTCTCCATCTTTTCGTTTACATCTTTCTCCATACCTGGCCAGTAGAAACGCTGCCTAACCAGCCAAAGTATTTTCTCTCCTTTCCCTGGTGACCAACATCATCGTGGATACCCCTCAGGGCGGTACTGCTTTGGTAGGACAAGCTGTTTGATTTTCTGATCGTCAAGAGAAGCGATTCCTAACAGGACACCGTCGTGTAAAAAGGTAGGCCAAGTTCTGAGCATTTTCTAGACATATTGAGTTTCAACCGGTTCTCTTCAGGTATGAAACCCGCGCAATATCCGAGTCCTGACGCTGCTGTTTCACCCAGTCAATAGTCGCAAGCTTACCTGTTGACTCTGCACTCTCACTGGCCAGATAAGGCACAGAATCGACAGACACACTTTCCGCTAGTGGGGCGACAATGACTGCTGATTGGCATATAGCCTTGACAACGTCAGTACTAACTTGGGATATGCGTGAGAGACCGTCCGCGTCAGCGATATTTTTCCAAGCACGATACGACAGGGTGAAATCATAATTTGCAAGAGCAGCAACCCACCTGTGGCCGGTGGCATCCAGCTTGGCTTTTCCAAGCACATAAGTAAGAGGATTGTTGTCGGTCACAACTTCAAATGAATGACCATAGAGGTAGTCATGAAGTTTGTCCGTCGTAACTGCCCACTTAAGTGCAAGGAATTCCCTCTTTTGTGCCGGATAATTCCGCTCACTCGGTCGTAGCCCACGACTAGCATATGCAATCACTTTCTCACCATCTTCATGTTTCTGATAAAGCACAGCGCCTAGTCCTAGGCCGCTGGCATCAGTATGGAGGATGAATGGCTTAGTGATCTCAGCATATGCCAGAACCGGGGGATTCATCAGTCTCTCCTTCAAGGTCTGAAAGGCGACCTGCTGGGACTCTTCCCAGACCCATTCAGCCTTTGCCTTAGTTTTTTTTTTAGATTTAACCTTCGGTTTGACTTTAAATTTCTTATGCAGATCATGACCTTGCAAGAGTTGCTTCAGTAGTTGTGCTATTGCAGCGTAATCTTTGATAAAACGCCTGTAGTACCCACTGAATCCTAGAAACTGACGAAGCTCCTTTACATTCTGTGGTCGTGGCCAATCTTTAACTGCAGACACCTTTTCAGCGTCCGTAGCTATACCGTCTTCAGACACGACATGCCCTAAATATGTCACAGATTTCTTGAAAAGCTCACATTTGGAAGGTTTAATTTCAGGCCATGTTGGCTTAGTCTGGCAAAACCCGATTCCAACCTAGTAAAGTGCTCGTCAAAAGTACGAGAGAAGATAAGGATATCATCAAGGAAAATGAAACATTCTCTCAGATGCATGTCACCCATACACTTTTCCATCATTTTCTGAAAAGTAGCAACAGCTTTACAAAGACCAAATCCCATTCTGTTAGTCTCCCAGAAACCCAGGTTACCAACAGAAAAGGACATTTTTTATTTGTCTGCTTCGTCCATCTCGATCTGCCAGTATCCTGATCGAAGGTGAAACCTTAAGGAGGTGACCCCTACTTTCTTGATAACCAGACGGATGTAGGAGTTTTAGAAGTCAATCCGACCAACCAATATCTCATCTTGTTCAATAAACTGGTCAGGGCTTTCATGTCCCTTTCATATGTTCCAGCTCCCTTTACTATAAGGGGGAATCTCCAGGAATGTAAGTTTGACAGTTGGAAAATTCTGTAAAAAAACAACAATGGAGTCTATACTGCTCCTGACATACCCCTCACACTCTAAGTCTGAGGTATGTGCTAGGTTAATGTACCTTCCTACCTAAATAGCCTTTACAAGAATAGGATATTTATTCAGAAAATGAAGTGGGGTTACAGGCTTTTCTATAAATTTGGTTAACTTACTTACACTCATTTAGAAATATTCATGACTAAACACATGTGTACTAGGTTCTGAAAGTGGAAATGCTTTGAACTTACCTTGCATTCATAATG